AAACACAAAACACTTCTATCTACCATGAACTGGGACCCCGTGAGGGGGCAGCATGGGGGAGGCTAAACTATCCTTCGGATTAAAAACAGAAACAGCAGCAACAGACGAAAAATGCACGCGTCTACCAAGGCTATTACCTAGTACTCGAGTTCGTTTAGGAGTACTTTCACCAGTGTCCTCCTTGTTTTCGCTACCATCATTCTGATCCTCATTTCGACAAGAAGAATCTCTGGGCAGTTCTTCCCTAGCCCTACGTTTCTTGTTGTGGGGAAGGTCATCTGGCTCAAACCCTTTGCTCTCTTCCACTCCTCCATGTTTTCCTGCTCCATCGTCGTCATCCTCCTTTCTCCCCTTTCCCTTTCCTTCGTCTTCGTCACTCCCAAAAGAATTACTCTCACCACTATCGTTGTCGCAGAGATCCCAACCGATTGGCCCTGGTGGAAGTTGGTCGATCAGTAGCCCATGACGTTTGAACACATCGCGAGTTCGCATCGACAGAAAACGAGCTAGCTCGAAGGTAAACCGTCTCCGAATCCTGTTAGTATGAAAAGCTTTCAGGCGAACTAAGGCCCTCTCGTCGTCAAAATTTTCCCGGCAAAAAGCTTCGTGCGCCAAGTGGTTGGCGATAGCAACGATGAGTCGATTGGTGCCTTTGCCAAGACCACCATTCGTTGAAAAAGCAGCAGTAAGGAGGGTAGATCTAGACGGGTTGAAAGTTCCCGCATAGTGATTTGCCTTACTTGCAGCTCGATCTTCGAGGGCTGATCCTGGCTTAAGGATCGACTTGTCGATGCTTCGACCTGCTGATGGGTTGACGATTGTTACGTCGATCAGAATGGACTTGGTGCAGAGGTCCTCTTCCTTCTCTCCTGCGTGTAATCCTGGGGGGATTACCAAATCCATCTTGTATAGCCCCTTTCCCCTACCAGTGCCTGTGGTAAAAGGGGAAGAATCCTCAACGGCGATGGGCATATGGCACTCGCGCAGTGTCTTGAGGACCACTCGAACCATCCTGTTATGGAGGAAGGTTGAGGCGCCGGTCTTGGTGCAGACGAGGGAGTGGGCTCGGCTCAAGCGGTCCTTGCATGTATGTGTGTGTGTGTCGTACATCTGGAGGGAAACAAACTATATGCGTTGTAATATACGAAGAATGGATGTGAAGGTGGGACGGATCGAATGAATCCAGACAGACAGGAGCAGCGCGCGTGCGTGTGTTTTTCAAACAGTCAAAGAATGGACACACGTATGTACGTATGCACACACAGCCAAATCACCACGCAAATCAGTATATATTGCACACTTGTTGCATCCGCGACGGGGGGAAACAAACCAAACAGACAGGTCAACGGAAAAAGGATTTCGAAACGAACTCTCGTCCGCAGCGACCTGGGTGCAGACCTAGTGTTACGTTCGTTCAACGTCGTTCTATTTTCGGCCCACGTTCCGACTCCGTGCGGGTGTGCTGCAATGCGTGGGTATTCGCTATGTACCACAGCGTTTGTTTGTCGGTGCCTCACGAAGGGTGAGAGCCACAGGAGGTGCAATAGTGCTACATGAGCAGCCAAGACCCGAGCAGCAATATATAACAGCAGCAGCAGCACAGCGGAACAAACGTGGCTGTGGATGGCAGCAGAAAAAGAGGAAACCAACAAACAGGCGGCGGGTGTTGTTCTGAGTTGAAGATAGGCCTGTCCTCCATCGGCCGTTTTACTTTCGATTTAGATACACAAACTTTATTTCTATACTAATTTCAAGTAATTCTACCTTCTTATTCTCCGTCATACAAGCAAAACGGCCGATGGAGGACAGGCCTAGTTGAAGAGACGGCAAATCCGACCGACCGACAGACAACTACCCTCTGCACCACATCAATCAGCAGCGATTCGAGCCACAACACATCCCACCTCTCAGATATATTGCTACAGTACTACTCGAATGGCCTACCCGTTGTACTCAGCCGTTCAGATGTTTCCCGCGGCGTGTTGTTGTTTTTCCATCGTGCAGCAAGCGCAACCACGGAGTACAGACGTGCGTTTTCGAAACTGCTGTACACGGGTACCTGTGACCAAGCAATAAGGTGTTCTTGGCTGTTCTACCCGGCTACTGCTTTGCTGCTGTGCTGGAAAGAATGTTCCAGCTGCTTCAAAGAACATGAAAGACTGTCGAAGTCGAACAGCCGCCTGCAAACAGAAGAAGGGAAAAGAACACCCGAACAGCCTCCACCGCTATCGATCAGCAACTAGAAATGTATGTTGATCCCACCCAGACTCGATGTTTGACCTTCTGTCTGAAAGGAAAATCTTCTGAGTTGTCTCGGAAAGCCCCTGTAAGGAGGATTCTTAACGATTTTTCGGTTTGTTGGAATATGCCGACTGGCTTTCGGAGAAATCCGAACGGACCGCCTGACGTTTCTTAAGGTCAGGCGGTCCATTTTTTGAATTTCTCAGACTTTTCGGTTTGAAAACGTACAGCATTTACACACCACAGCCTTCAGGCAGGCGGCAGCGCCAGCGTACAAACATGCAGAGCGACGAGAACAGCGGACCTACCGGCGGCAGGCCGCCGAGGGGCCATCGCTGACCCGCGAGATACGACAGCACAGGCGAAAGTGGTGCTGCCTGTGGTCATGGGTTGGGTCATGGGTTGCAGCAGTCTGCTGCCGCCGTTGATGATGACAACGGCCGCGGCCGCGACCCTCTCCCGAGCCACGCCTCTCGCCGGCTGCGCGTGGCCGCCCCCGCCGCTGCCGTAGAAGCGGAGGGTTCGCGATGCCCCCTTACGATGCTGTCGCAAGCTGCCGGGGTCGCCGGGTTTGCTACCACGACAACCACCGCAGCAGCCATCGCCCGCATCACGGAAAGCGGGTTCATCTCCAGGCTGCGACGCTTTCGCCGCCTTTGCTCCGCGAAATCTGCAGATCCACAGCGCTTTCCGTGACCATCCATGGTCTACAAGCTTACAGGCGACACAAGCAAGCCACCTGGGGACTGTCCCCGAGATCTGGAGTGCGAGAGGGTGCTCAGCGTGCTGGCGACTGCAGTGCAACTCGAGTGCTCCCATTTCGGAGTCATTTCGGAGTTTCTCTTCGGAAAATGCCGAAAATGAAGCGGCGCCCGAAAAATTCCGACGCTTCATTTTCAGCATTTTCCGACAAGAAATCGGCATTTTCCGAAAAAGTAGGGCGCATGTCGGCATATTCCAACAGAACAAATCTCGTTAAGAATCCTCCTAAGTAGTTTGGTCGGGCGGCAAGTGAATTGGTTGTGACTTCTTCGATTAATACTTAGTTCGGAATGTCCCTCGGGACTCCAATATCACACGCGAAATATCTATATTTCGAGTAGAATGTGCAGATAACATGGCCACCGTGTGTGCCAAAGAACGGAAGATGATGCTGGCGAACCTCAAGCTTGTTGGAAGTCTACCTTCAGGAAGTAACAGCTGAAACGGCTTGCCACCCGACGACTTGGCTTTTGAAGACAGCCCAGAAGGTTCTGACTTCAGCCGTTTATTGTCGAGTGGGATCACATTGGGTCTCGTCTGCTGTTGGGTCAGCGAACGTCTTTCGCATCGATTTGTACCCTGTGGGAAGGATTCTTACAAACTTTTGGGGACAGACGTTGCACAGAAACATGTTTGCCCCTGCACCAGTGTACCTAATGGGTGGCTCGGCAACTACGATGTTGCAGAGGCGCCACCAGGCCACCAAGCGCACTGTCGAAAGGAACGAAGACACCGTGTCCACGTCCTGCCCGGTGGTCCTCGGCCCTGCTTGGACAAATCTATGACAGTCAAAACGCAGCATGTTCGCTTTTGTCTGCTGAGACTTGTATGGGTCGGGCGGCATAGCACGGGCGATTATGTTCCGTCGAAAACGCACACAAGTGTGCGAACGACGTGCCGTACGCTCGGGCGAGCTGTAATCCATTTTGTCGTCCAGATTCTGTGTCGAAATATGGCGGTGGCTGGCTACTGTAGGTGGCAAGGGCCCGGAAATATCGTGTTCCATGAGGCGAAAGAGGTGCATTCACGAAACACTTAGTTGTTGCCGGTAATGATTTCCAGGCGAAGCACATGACTTGCCCGCCAAAGCAAATGGGCTGCTTTGAAAACATTACTTTAGCCCGCCAAGACAACACCGGTCCCGCGGAGAATACTGTACAGAGCGCAGGGTTTGTCTGCCCTGTGCCTCTTGATGAAATGCGCGTTTGGATTGGAACGACAAGTTTTGAGTGCTCGAGGAACGGGTCATCCTTATCGATACAGGCACACTATCCGAGAGTGATTTTTTTTCTGAGTTTTGGAGACGGAACTGTCGCCCCGGCATCGCCAGGAGTGGTGCCGAAGAGCCTGCCGGTCTTGGTTACTGTTTCAAAAATAGCTTCAGCGTGAACTAGACCCAACTTTTTACCGAAGACCCAAGTTGCTGTTCTTTTTTCTTCGTGTTGTAGCGGCCTAAATAGTATATCTGCCCTCGACGCAACAAGCGTCGAAATGAGGGGTGTCGAATATGAACAGAATCGAACAAAGAACATGTGATCGATTACGGGACAGCGCTACTTGATCTGGCGGTCAAGGGTTGATATCGGCATGTTAAATGGGGGCCGCGGTATTGTTGTGTTCGACTGGGAGGACCCCCCTCCACTCTGACTGTCTTCGCTGCATCCGACTCTACCCCACGAGCTGCGCATCTAGAACCTCTCTTAGGGCCCACAACAACTTTATTGTGGGCATTCCCACGTGTGTATCTGCCACCCACTATCTCAGGACGACGCTAGTGCCTGGACGCCTTCATCGTCGCCTTGAACTAGACTTGCGATGGGGGGAAAAGGCGCTGGTATGCATCTACGCTGGAACTACAGCTTGTGCCACTGGCATTCTGCGGAGCGTGCAGATGTGTCCCGAGCTTGCACGTCCGAGTGGATCGAGAAATGCCCTGTAGCTCGTGGTCTCCTCGCCAGCCACACACCATAGCCAGCAAGCGCAGTCGAGAGGTTTACATGGTGAGTCGCGTGCCGGCTGTGCAGGCTTTTGGTTCAACATGGGGACTTCCGACGGAGGTTCTGCTGCAGAGTTCTGCCATCGAGCTTGGGTCTGGATCAGCATATCATCGCATGAATGGACATTCATCTGCAGCAAGCCTAGGATCGATGTTTTGGCTCAAAAAGCTCAATTGGCTAGTGTTGGAGTTGGATACGCCAGTGAACAAGACCTCTTCGTGGCCGGCCTCCCTGCAGCATCCATCGCTTGGAGATAGTGTCAACCAGCCCATCGCTCAAGTCGCGTGGCCGGCCTCCCTGCAGCATCTATCGGTTGGAGATAGTTTCAACCAGCCCATCGCTGAGGTTGTGTGGCCGGCCTCCCTTCGACAGCTATCGTTTGCATGGCGCTCCAACCAACCCATCGCCAACTCCGAGTGGCCGGCCTCCTTGCAGCAGCTAGCTGTCCTTCGGGTACGAATTCAACCAAAGCATCGCTGAGGTTGTGTGGCCGGCAGCTCTCCAGAAGTTGTCCTTCGAGCACAACTTTGGTCAGCCCATTATTGAAGCCACGTGGCCGGTCTCCCTGAAGCAGCTTTCGTTCGAGATGGCGTTCAATCAACCCATCGAAGAGGTCGTGTGGCCGGCGTCCCTGCAACAACTGTCGCCCAGGTCCAAATTCGACCATCCCATTGCCGAAGTCGTGTGGCCGGCCTCCCTCCAGCAGCTATTGCTTGGGGGTGGCTTCAATCAACCCATCGCCCAAGTCGTGTGGCCGGCGCCCCTGCAGCAGCTATCGTGTGGAGATTGTTTAGACCAGCCTCTTGACGAAGTCGTGTGGCCGGCCTTCATGCAGCAGCTATCGTTTGGACATCTTTTCGACCACCCTCTTGACGAAGTCGTGTGGCCGGCCTCCCTGCAGCAGCTGTCGTTTGGAGATTGTTTCGACCACCCTCTTGAAGTCGTGTGGCCTGCCTCCCTGCAGCAGCTGTCGTTTGGAGATTGTTTCAACCAGCCTCTTGACGAAGTCGTGTGGCCTGCCTACCAGCCGCTATCGTTTGGAGCTTGTTTCAACCAGCCTCTTGACGAAGTCGTGTGGCCGGCCTCACTGCAGCAGCTATCGTTTGGAGATTGTTTCAACCGGCCTCTTGACGAAGTCGTGTGGTCGGCCTTCCTGCGGCAGCTATCGCTAGGAGATGGTTTCAATCAGCCTCTTGACGAAGTCGTGTGGTCGGCCTCCCTGCAGCAGCTGTCGCTTGGCGATTGCTTCAACCAGCCTCTTGACGAACACGTGTGGCCGGCCTTCCTGCGGCAGCTATCGTTCGGGGATCGTTTCAACCAGCCTCTTTACGTAGTCGTGTGGCCGGCCTCCTTGCAGCAGCTATCGTTCGGATTCGAATTCAACCAGCCCATCGCCAACGTCGTGTGGCCGGCCTTCGTGCAGCAGCTTTCGCTCGGGAATGAATTCAACCAGCCCGTCGCCCAAGTTGTGTGGCCGGCTTCCTTAAAAAGTGTAACTCGCGACGGGGTTAGTCTGCTATGATACCGTCGGGGAGGCACACCTCCGGTTGTGCGAATCCTGTGTTCGGCATTGAACAGGGAGTGTATGGATGGGAGTAACTGCAGTCTCCATTCGTGTCAGCGAGGAAGCCTCTGACGTGCAGTCAAATCGAGTTGTCGACCACTGCTTGTTACGACTTCGTATATTCTGCTCATATATTCTGCGCGGCACTTGGTAGCCAGAAGTGCAAGTATCGCGGACGACGTCTCGGGTAAGCCATTGTGCTGGATACATCAGTTTCGGCACCGAGCGTCGTGACGTTGTGAAACGCCGTACCCCTATGTACAGTTTGATGGCTCAAGTCCCTGGCCATTCAACCTGCGGAGATGGAGGTAGGGTCCCCATTTTACAAGGATTGATCGCCGTTGGATGTGCAGCCCTTAATTCAACATGGATTTGTGTCTGTCCCCGAGAGACAAAGCGAGCCGACCTGCAGGCATTGGGGGGCGGGTGGGGTTGGAAGCGCGGTGATGGCTTCGGGCAAGTCCACGGGCATGGTGCGGTTGCTGGGTGTTTGTAACGGCCGCAACATGGTGCTTGAATCGCCTTGAAATGTACAATCGTTCGTTCCAATTGAGCAAGTTGGAGTTGAGACCGGAAGGGTCCTCAATTCTGAAGCTTTTAGCTTCAGCTTCTTATTCTAATATCTATGTTTCATTCGATATGCTGATCTCGAGTTACACTGCAAATCTCGCGGAATTTCGAGTACACTTCGGTGGGGAATCGCAGATCATCACCCCTCCCCGAGTGTGAGGAGCTTCCGTCTCCTGTGGCCGAGAAGTCGGCCTTGTCTGTCGCACCCCTTACGGGGCGGTTCAACAGCCAAAGAGGGTCCGTTCGGTTGCATCACAATTGTTTTTTTTTCTTGCGAGTGAGCGGAGCTTTCCATCTTTGCCACCTTGAAGGTTGGTATTCCTCAGGCTGCTGTTGTTGTGATGCACCACAGCGGGCATCTCGGAGGTACACGGTCTGTCTCTGTATCTGTTACTGTTGGACACCTGTACGCGTCACTTTTTCCCTAAAACGTGCATGGACAGCAACAATCATCGTTGCTCTCGTTCATTAGCATGTTCGGAATAGTCTAGTACATTATATCTACGTCGCATATGCAGGCCTTTTTTTCTATTTTTGTTTATCTTCCGTGCGGGGGGTCTCTCGGTTTTTTGTGTCATTGCTTTGAGTTGAGCAGTGTTTTCGGGCCGCATGTGAAGCAGGGTTTCCGGACCGCGCGTCAACTGCCGCGATCGCTGCCCCTGGTCTTGCTGCGGTGCATGGTTCGGTGGTGTGGTGTGCATCTTCGCGGCTACACAGGTCCACGTCGGACGTTGACAAGTTGACAAGATGTATGTGCGACTGCCCGTCCCTCTTTATGACAAGTTGACTCTTACCCGTCCCTCCGTCCATCTCTTCCATGTTCATAATGAATGTTGTCGATGTGTACTGTAGCTGCGAGAGATTCGCAAGCCACTAACTGAGGACGCTTTCCATGTCACACTGGGTTGCAGTTGGTTAGTCTGCCTCTACACCGGAGGAAGCGCGTACGTACTAAATACGCCTTCGCCCGTAACTCTCCTTTGTCCTCTCTCCGTTCCTCCCCTTTCCCGCTCTTGGAATAGGCTACTTCCGTAGTAATTTTGTTTCCAAGGATTCGCGAAGCGTTGTTGCCGGTTTCTTGCGATTGCCGCCCTTGCCGCTGCCGATTTTTCGAGAGTACATGAGACGGCCCCGACGAATGTTGCTCGCCAACATCGGAGTCCACGGTGGGCAAAGAACATTCTCGTCGGTGCGTGTTTGTACATATGCTGCACAGGACTCGTCTACTGCTGTAGCTGCTTTCTTTCGTCCTTCTCAGTTTCGCTTCTTCATTTTTTTTGTACTTCTAACAGTTTGTGGGGGTCTTATGGGTCCCCCCGCCCACCAACAAAATCATTTTCACGGGTAGAGTATGCATCCATACATCCTTTGCACAGGTGGCAGCCCCCACAAGGCAAGTCGCCGCCCTCCTTTCACATATTACCTCGCAACACCCCTCCTACCGCAGTAGCTCAAACACACCACACACCATGCCTTATTAGACATCCAAGGCGTGTGGGGGGCCATCGTCGGTGAGCATGAGAACCAGCCCCGTCAACTGCCCAAGGTCACCGCAGACGACGCTTTGTTTGTTCGGTTGTTTTTGGGGGCGTGTTTCCTATATCCCCATCCTGTCACTTGGTCGGGCCCACAGACAGGTGTTTTACCCCGCCATGCACTCGTTCACCTCACCACAAGAACAGTAGTTCTATTCCACGCTCAGGCGGGAGGAAATGCAGAATATACGTCCTCTACCTCTCCCCCATCCCGTCAATCTCCCGTCCGGCTCATATTTTGGGGAGAGGAAAGAAAGCTAGACTGGAGTCCGCTCACATGCAAACAACGAGTAGAGCGCGTTCTGGGTGATCTCATCTATGAGGATTTGGCTGTATGCGCTCGTAACCAGATTTATGTTACGTAGGTCAGCAAGCTCGGCGGTAGTAGGATTTCTTCGCCAAAAGAGAAGTACAAGAGTGCATAACAAACGAAGGGGCGTAGGGGGGGTAATGATGATATTTTTTCCACTCGGTGCCGGTCGACTGTTCTTCTTCGGGCGGAACTTGAGTAATTCCTGTGCGCAGAAGCGTTCACTTCAGGAGCCCGCGAGCGTGATAATGAAGTACACGCGCCGGCACCCAACCACGATATATGATATCGGTTCGACGAGACCCCGATCGCATGACCGTAGGCGTCACCTTGTACCGCTGCTGACGGATCGCCGTCTGCCGGGTTGGCTCATGGCGTCTGCGGTAGTCCAGTCCACCCTCCGGCGCCACCGTCACGGCAATCTCTCCTGTCGTCGCCGCTCCTGTAGTCGCCGCTCCCATCAACGGTGGTGCCGCAGCTCCGTTCGTGAGTGCATGCGCCCCGGCCGGCCACCACCGCTGGGAGCACACATGACTGCCGGTGGTCCCCGTCTCGCCGCCGGTGTTGCTGCCGATGCTGCCGCTCCCGCCACGAGAGCCTGCTGCCTGCCCGTCTCCCTCGCAGCCGGCGGGGGGAAGTTCCTGCCGCTGGGGGGTACCACTATCGCCGCAGGTGCTGCTGACGATGGCACCGCTCTAGCCGCGAGTGCCTGCACCCCGGCTGTCCCGACGGCCGGCGATGCGGGGAACACATGACTGCCGGTGGTCTCTCCTCTCGCCGCCGGTGCTACTGCCGATGCTGCCGCTGATCGATAATTCGGGTGGCTCGATTCTTTGTGGTTGGAGCTCAAAGCGGGTGGCTCATGGCGGAGCGTGGATGGGTAGAAACGTGTTGCAAAGTATAGTATTAATCGGGGGCGTGCCAGTACTCGTCAAACCATCACGGCATCTGGTCACGCCTTCACTCTTTGTCACTCAACGAATCTCTCTGAACCTTCACCAAATACCTCTCGCAACCAAGGAATATATGTAGAAATTTCCTATTCTTCCGCATCTCATCACTGTAACTTTCGTACGTACGTACATAACATCTCAACCGTCATACTATGCTACGAGTACCCCCAACATATCTAATAGCCCCCCTACTCGTATGCATCGTCATGCTCCAAGAAGAACCAACTTCCTCTTTACCATCTTTCCAAAGCAAACAAGAAAATTCTCAAAACAAA